TCATGCGGCTATACACGTCATCCACAGTCAAGGGGTTAATGATAATGACACTGTCTGACTGATGTTGCGCAAGTATAATATATGGCAGAAAAGATGCGCAATAACATATGCTAGTGATATTGTCGGTAAGAAATTACAGAATAGGCCTGCTGCGTGTGTGCGTGTGCGTGTGCGTGCGCGCGCGCGTGTGTGTATGTGTGTGTGTGTGTATGTGTGTGTGTGTATGTGTGTGTGTGCGTGTGTGTGTGTGTGTGTGCATAGTGGATGGATGGGCACATGGGTCTTTAGATAATGTTTGCGAGTGTTTGTGAGAATAAGTTACAGAACGAATAAGGATCATAAATGCTAACGAGTACATGAGATTCGTTGGCATATAAGTCGGACTCATGAGCGACTATTTGATGCTCGATGGTGAATGCTGCGAGCTCATACTAATAAGTAAGTACGTAGGTTTTGCGAGCGTGTACACGCAACAGTCCAGCAATAGTCCACAGTCCATTGTAATCATAGAGTCATTCCTATGTTTTATCAAATATTATTATAGCATATTATCTGGAAGTGAATGGGAGCCACTTTCAGCATTTAATTTAACCCATTAACCTTTTAACCCAGATCACCATTTAATTTAACCCATTAACCCATTAATCCAGAAGTCCTAAAATATTAACCTTACTTTGCAACTGTATTTTATGTAGAGAAATTATATTATATAAAGTTGGAATAGCATTTCCTTATGTTTTCGGGATTGTTCTACAAGATTCCGGCATCAGAATTCGTTTAAATTCACAATAAAATCAAATACGGCGGAATTTTTGAAAAAATGTCGTGAAAAATCGACAATTTTATTTTTTTATAAGCTTGATTTTGTATCAAAAACGTCACTTTGATATAGATACAAGTGTCACATCTTGTCTAAAAAATGTTGAACTTTCAAGGTATGCATTGGTGAAAATGTGAATTCAAGATGGCTACCTGAAAATGACGGTTTGTGCGAAAAAAACTAAAAAAATAATGTATTTTTAGAATAACTTCGCAAAATCCTAGTATTTAGCATCAATTTAGTATCCAGGGTAATGATTTTAGGATATTTGTTGACAACTAATTCATATTAGAGAATTTCAAAATGGCGGGTGCAAGATGGCGACTAAAAGGCATGAATTAGCGTGAAAATTCCCAGATTTTCATGAATTTTCTTGTATTATTTTCATATTCATGAATTATTTTCAAGACGTACACATGCACATATACAGGGTGGGTAATTATAAACTTACAAACTTTATAAAAAACATAAAAAACATTGAAATAAGTACAACGGACGAGAAAAAATAGAAATCGACTACGTAAAGTTTTGAGAAAAATTGTTAAATAAATGAGTGAATAAACGCTCAGTGGGCATGCATTGTGGGCATCGCAGGCATACTACTCCGCACGGTTTGGGCCGGATACCCACCCTGTATATGTACGTGTGTACGTCTTGAAAATAATTCATGAATATGAAAATAATACAAGAAAATTCATGAAAATCTGAAAATTTTCACGATAATTCATACCTTTTAGTCGCCATCTTGGACCCGCCATTTTGAAATTCTCTAATATGAATTAGTTGTCAACAAATATCCTAAAATCATTACCCTGGGTACTAAATTGATGCTAAATACTAGGATTTTGCGAAGTTATTCTAAAAATACATTATTTTTTTAGTTTTTTTCGCTCAAACTGTCATTTTCAGGCAGTCATCTTGAATTCACATTTTCACCAATGCATACCTTGAAAGTTCAACATTTTTTAGACAAGATGTGACACTTGTATCTGTATCAAAGTAATGTTTTTGATACAAAATCAAGCTTGTAAAAAAATAAAATTGTCGATTTTTCACTTTTTCCAAAAATTTCGCCATATTTGATTTTATTGTGAATCTAAACGAATTCTGATGCCGGAATCTTGTAGAACGACCCCGAAAACATAAGGAAATGCTATTCCAACCTTATATAATATGTTTCTTTACACAAAATACAGTTTCTCTACACAAAATATGGCTAATATTTTAGGACTTTTGGGCGTTAATGGGTTAATACGCTAAAACAAAAATGCGGGACAGAAAGTTTTGAGTCATTAAAGAGAAAGGATGATAGTCCTCAGTCCTTATCCATCCTGTAACTTATCCTCACAAACACCAGCCAAATATCCATCCACCCACTCATACGTGCGCATCTACACAAACGCATATACACAAAAGAGATGTAAATCCGACCGTGTAACTTCCATGCGGCACACGTTGAATAATATTAATACCGCGGCATGCCAACTGTACTGTAATTTCCAAACCTCATAACTTGTAACTTCGTAACGAAAAATGCTTAACGGAAAAATACTTTATTATGTTTTGGAAAGCTCTCGAGATAAGCTACAAAATTATACAAGGTGTCCAAAACCATCCGTCCACCCTTTCTAAAATGTAGAAAATTAATTTTTTTGGGGATCTAAAAAATTTTAATAACTATGTCGGGTACGCTCTTTTGATTGGTGATATTGTTGTGCCCACGCCTTTGGGGAACGTGTTGTTCCCACGCTCTTGGGAGAAGACTGTGAAGAAGGCATATAGAGAATGTTTGACAGCTGTTATCGTTGTCAAGGAGTTTGTTTACTAACAACTAGGGAGAGTCGCTCTAGTCCTGTCACGGCGTACGGACGTAAAGCGAATTCGTGCGATTATTTTGAGATTGATTAAGATCCGTTTTTCTTGGCTGTAAATAAAGCTTTTCTCGTTTAGTTTATCCCGAGTTATTTCTTTCACGCGCGGGCACAACAATATTATCAACCTCTGACTTCGACCGGAAGTGGGTTATCCAGACCGGAAGATCGTTTTTTATAGATGGAACATGCATATTTTTATTGCGGATTCCAATTGTACGCATAAAAAAACGTAATTTTGGTTTTAAAAATTTTTCTCGAAAACGTCATTTTTATCTCTAAATGACCTTTACATTTGAGCTTGGGTCCGGTTCGCACGAAACCCCTTTCAAACTTCAGGAACTGAATTGTCGAGAAAATAACAGTACTATCTAACAGAAAATCGAGAAATACGTAAGTTGACATTATTTTCTCGACAATTCAGTCCCTGAAATTTGAAAGGGGTTTCGTGCGGACCGGACCCGAGCTCAAATGTAAAGGTCATTTAGAGGTCAAAAATGATGTTTTCGAAAAAAATTTTTCAAACCAAAATGACGTTTTTTTATGCGTAGAATTGGAATCCGTAAAAAAAAATATGCATGTTCCATTTAAAAAAACGATCTTTCGGTCTGGATAACCCACTTCCAGTCGGACCCGGAAGTTGATAATATCACCAATCAAAAGAGTACCCGACATAGCTATAAAAATTGTTCAGATCCCCAAAAAAAATTTTCTAGATTTTAGGAGTGGACAGGTGGTTTTGAACACCCTGTATAATGAAAAATAAAGAGCTCCATTTAAGAAATCAAAGATGACCTTTATGTAACTTTGACAATACTGTTCAAGGTCATACTAATATTATTATATAATACGTTACTTAAAACCCTGCAACTTTTGAATGAAACTTGCTTCTCAAAAATGCATATTTAAAAAAATTTGGGTTGTTCGGAAAATAATTTCGGTTTTTTCAAATACATGATATTAGTTGTCTTTTTAAGCAGTTAACTTCATTCTAAACCAGAAAATTATTTTACATTTTTATAATACATATTTTAAGCTTCATTTGAAAAAAAGTTTTAGAATCTGTCAAGTTGTTTTTGTTTGACGTTATATAGAAAATGGAAACCAACGTATTTTCGTCAAATTTTGCTTTTTTATTACTGTAAAGGCAAAAATGCAGCGTAAGCAAGAAAAAAGTTGTACATTGTATATGGAGAAGATGTGTTTACTGAACAGTATCAAAATTGGTTTTCGAAATTTCGTTTGGGAATTTCGAACCTCAAAGATGCACCACGGGCTTTTGGAAAGTCCGTTGAGGCTGATGAGGACCAAATAAAGTCATTGGTGGATGCAAATCGTCATTTAACAACACGAAAAATTGCTGAGAGATTGAATTTATCGAATTCGACCGTGCATGAGCATTTGAAACAACTTGGTTTCTTTTCAAAACTCGATGTTTGGGTTCCATACATTCTCAGAAGAAGAGATTTGAGTCGTCGCATTACCATCTGCGATTTGCTATTGAAACGTGAAGAAAACGATCTATTTCTGAAGCAATTCATAGCTGGAGATGAAAAATTGATTGTGTACAACAATATTACTGCAAAAGATCATGGAGCAGATATGAAGAACCAGCTCAAAACACATCGAAAGCTGATATCCATCAAAAGAAAGTAATGCCCTCTGTTTGATATTATTGGAAAGGAATGGTTTCTTTTGAGCTGCTACCAAACAACCAAACGATTCGAATGTGTACTGTCATCAATTGGACAAATTAGATGATTCCATCAAGCAAAAGAGACCAGAATTGGCGAACAGAAAAAATGTGTTTCATCATGACAACTCCAAACTTCACACAAGTTTAATGACTCGCCAGAAGCTATTAGCGCTTGGATGGGATTTGCTACTGTATCCATCATATTCATCTGATCTGATACCATTCGATTATCACTTGTTTCGATCACTGCAAAATTCTTTGGACGATAAAAATTTCGATTCAAAGGTGTCAAAAACCTCAATTCAGAGTCAGTTTCTAATAATCCAGTTCCAATAAGGCCCAGAAGTTTTACAAGCGTGGAATCATGTTATTACTTCAAATATGGCAAAAGGTGTTAGAACAAAATAGTCAATACTTAACCAAATAAAACTTTGCTTTCTATTAAAAATATCGTCTTTCATTTTCATGCAAAAAACCAAAATTATTTTCCGAACAACCCAATATTAAGAGGTTTCTCTTAGAAAACTCTGTATAATAAAGGCTTTAAACTATTATATACTTATATACTATTATGTATCACCATGCAAAAAAGAAAAAACCTATTGTGACGTACATGAATTATCAGATGTAAATGCTGCCATATGAGTAGACTTCGGGTCGTACGTAAGGTTGACAATACTCAAAGATACGCTCCATGTTATAGCCAAAGTTAGAAGATTCCAAACTATTATGTATTGTTGCGACGCAGCTACGACAAGATGACAGGCCTCATGTTTCCCGAATTCTATCCGCCTATTTTACACATTTTTCAATTACATGTACAATTATAATTATAGCAATTAGCGGTTATTTCGTACTAAAGCTTCAATAATTATTTGGATCTTATTTATTAGCCAGAAATTATTTTTCTAAAAATTATGTTTATTTATATGGGACGTTTCGCGTCAACCGGATCATTAACGTCCTCAAAAATTGACGCATCGGATCGGGACGAGTAAGGGCTCGAATTGTTCGTCTACTTGAACACTTCTAGAAGCAACATGGCCTTTCCGGAAGTTCAAAGTAGTGGCTTCCAGGTGGTACTAAATATACCGAAAGATACACGAGAACCATAATGTATTTTCAATCAAAATATGTGAAACCTAGAATTTTCAACGTAAAATACGATAGCTCATATATTTTGATCTGCTAAATCCGAATCTAACAAGGGGAGGACGCATCGACCGGGAAACGGTTTGGAACGAAACTTACGGAGTTAATAGTATTTGACTACTAATAACTCATGGTAATAGCATACGACGCAATGCCTCTTCGTTTTCGAGAAAAAAACGGTCTAAAGAAAAGAGCCAACAAAGTGTACGAGTTAATAAGAATATTCAATGAAGCGGCATAGCGCAGCAGCGAAGGTAACGAACTACCGAGTTGACGGGCTGAGGTTCGATCCCTGCTGTATGGTTTTTTTTTATTCTGTAAGTATAAAAATGAAACAGAAAACATTAATAAATAATAAAACTGCGTTTCTTCAATATATTAGTGTTTGTTAAATATATTATTAATGATTTAAATTGCAAAAAGACCGTAAATCTTATCTATAAAATATATAGTGTATGAGAAAATTTTTATATAATTGCAATGGAAATAAGAATAAAAATATTGTTATAAAATATATAGGAATGCTACTAACCCTTTGCGGTCGATGCCACCACAGTGGCGGCATTCGTAAGTCGTCGTAGAAGTCGATGCCGCCAGGCTGGCATTCATGATCGCCTGGCGTGCGGCACGGCAAATGAGGCTAGCGATAATGAAAGAAAACTATCCTCCCGATGCTAGATTCAAATGTTTAGATCAACTTACAGATATCCATGTTTATCGATCTCTTCGAAATCGGCCGATCGCAAAGGGTTAAACTAATATGAGATAATTTTTCGTAATCTTATATTGTATATATAAAATATTTATTTCTGTTACAACTCTCTATATTGTGTAGAAGTCGTGTTAAAGTTGAAGTTGTGTTGAAGTTGTGTTGTGTCTTTATCTCTTCTGGCAATCCCTCTCCAGAAACTTCCTTTGTATCATTCTAAACGATCGTTAAGAATGACGAAATAATTCGAGCATCGGAACAGTCGTCAGTAGAGCAAGCAGCAGTGTGCGTTTATTAGTGATACAGAGCAATTCGGTGATCATATTTAAATTATATATATCATAACAATATCAAAGAATCCTTCAACAAGCAAAATAGTTGATGTAGAATCGCTAGAAGAAAGATCTTTTGAAAATGAAGATTTTAAAGGTGAATTCACTAATGCTCTCATATATGCGAATTCTATTTACGAGAATAATGTATTATTATCGAAAAATCCTCCAGCGAAAATATAATATATTTTTACTCCTATTTCCATTGCAATTATTATATAAAAATGTTCTCATACACTATATATTTTATAGATAAGATTTACGGTTTTTTTGCAATTTAAATTATTAATAGTATATTTAACAAACACTAATATATTTAAGAAACGCAGTTTTATTACTTATTAATGTTTTCTGTTTCACTTTTATACTTACAGAATAAAAAAAACCATACAGCAGGGATCGAACCTCAGCCCGTCAGCTCGGTAGTTCGTTACCTTCGCTGCTGCGCTACGCTGCTTCGTTGAATTTCTTTCTTATTAACTCGTACACTTTGTTGGCTCTTTTCTTTAGACCGTTTTTTCTCGAAAACGAAGAGGTATTGCGTCGTATGCTATTACCATGAGTTATTAGTAGTCAAGTACTATTAACTCCGTAAGTTTCGTTCCAAACCGTTTCCCGGTCGATGCGTCCCCCCTTGTAAGATCAGAATTGCCCTTCAACTTCATAGTTTTTTCGAACCCTAAAAACAGCTCAAAAATCTCTAAAAACGATCAAAAGCAAGTATTCCGATGTGCTGGATATACTACATAGGCTGAAAAGTCTTTGGCCTGACATATAGATGGCGCCACAAACTAAAAATCCTTATATTTCCTATAGAGTACCAACCTTAACTTAGATGCTGTAAAAATTTCATGATATTTCGTTGACTCGTGTACAAGTTATAGCTTTCGAAGTGACGTTACCTCTGAATTTATCTTTACTATGGAAAAAAGTGAATTTCGTGTTTTGATTAAACATTGCTTCCTGATGGGAAAAAACACTGTTGAAGCAAAGGCATGGCTTGATAAATGTTACGGCACATCTGCCCCACCGAATTCAACCATCAAATATTGGTTTGCTGAGTTTCGTCGTAACCGTACGAGCACAAATGATGCACCACGTTCAGGAAGGCCAAATGAGGCTAGAGATGTCGCTTCCGAACGACATCTCTCAACGTTATCTGGAGAGGGGAGAGTGTCGTGAGCGTGGAGCGTCAGATAGCTCAGTGGTCTAGAACAGTCGCTCGGCAAGCGAAAGACCCGGGTTCGATTCCCGGTCTAGCGACTACCGCGCTCTCGATATTTTTCTCTCCTCGGAACGAAAAAGGAGATGCAGGTCCCGAACGCACGGCGTCCCGTCGCCACCTAGTACGCCCTCCTTCTTTCATGGTTACTAAATGAGTTACTCCAGAAAACATCCACAAAATCAGTGAAATCGTGTTGAATGACCGCAAAATGAAATTGAGTGAGCTAGCTAACATCATAGGCATCTCAAAGGAACGCGTTGATCATATCATTCATGAATATTTATACATGAAAAAGCTTTGCGCTCGTTGGGTGCCGCGTTTTTTGACAATTGAGCAAAAAGCGGAACGTGTTCGACTTTCAAAGCAAAATCTGGCCCTGTTTAACCGCAATAAGAAGGAGTTTTTGCGTCGATTTGTCACAATGGATGAAACATGGATCCATCACTACATATCGGAGTCCAATCGGCAGTCAGCGGAGTGGTTATTGCCTGGTGAAAGCCGTCCGAAGCGCCCGAAGACACAACAATCAGCCGGCAAGGTTTTGGCCAGTATTTTTTGGGATGCGCATAACATAATATTCATTGATTATCTTGAACATGGTAAAACTATCAATAAAGAATATTACTGTACATTACTGGATCGATTGGACGACGAGGTCAAGGTTAAACGGCCACATTTGGCAAAGAAAAAAATTTTGTTTCACCAAGACAATGCTCCAGCTCACTCGGCTCGCGATACGACCGATAAATTAAAAAAATTTAAAGCTATGAATTGGTCCCGCATCCCCCGTATTCTCCAGACCTGGCCCCCAGCGACTATTTCCTTTTTCCCCGACTGAAGCAGTGGCTCGCTGGTAAAAGATTTTACTCGAATGAGGAGGTCAAGTTGGAAACAAATGCCTATTTTAAGGGACTTGACACCGAGCACTATAAGACCGGCATCGAAATGTTAGCGGACCGTTACACTAAGTGCATTACTCTAAATGGAGATTATGTCGAGGAATAAAACACTTTTTTCATTAAAAAAATCGTTTTTTCATTGTTAAGCCAAAGACTTTTCAGCCCATGTAGTAGAGCCATTCAAAATAGGTTCTAATACTAGTATTTGATTCATCGAGTCTAAAGTATATATTACGATCATCTTGGGACGTCACAGTTGTTTCCAAACCGTAAAAAATACCTCAAAAATCCCTAAAAACGATCAGAAAGTAAGACTGTGATACTGTCCAACCGATTAAGGCAAGACCAAACGTTGTCCGACCAGTTAAGGCAAAATGCGAAAGCTTTCTTTTCATGGACTAAGAAAAGATCTTTCGACACGATTTTATTTCTGTTACTAGAACACTATAAGCGCGCGCTACGCGCGCGCCATTTTAGCTTATTCATATTAAAGTTTAGAATAAATATTATAAATCATAAAAATAATCCCTGTAGTGTAATATAAGTTTAATAATATCCGACTCCAACATACGATGTATTAGGCGTATAATTTGATATTCCATGATACATTTTCTACATAGTAACGCGTAACCGTATAACCAATGAATTTCGACGTTTAACATTTCTATTCCAGACCATCTTAAGTTCATCTTCAGATGATATATGCATCGTTCTATTGGCTAAAAAGCATTTGAAGATGAATTCAAGACGGTTCTGAATATAGAAGCTGACTCTCCCCTCCCTCCCTCTCCTCATCACTCTATCACTTTCCCTTTTCTCTTCCTCTCTTTTTCTCTTCCTCACTCTTTCTTTCTCTTTAACTCTCACCCTCTCTCCCTGCCTCTCTCCCTCTCTCCATCCCTCTCCCTCTCTCCCACTTTCCCCCTCTCTCCCCCCTCTCTCTCACACACACACGCACACGCGCCACGCACACGCGCACACACACACACACACGCGCCACACACACACACGCGCGCGTGCGCGCACACACACACATACACACACACAAACCCCCTCTCTCTCACTCCCTCCCTCACACTGTGCTTCTTCTCACACTGTCCTCTCTCTTACACTCTCTCTCACTCACACTCTCTGTCTCTTACATGCTCTCCCTCTCTTACACTCTTTCTCTCTTTTTAGAAGGTGTAGCAAACATGGTTAAAGGAGAATATATATTAAGCGGAGATTTTAATATAGATATAGATTGGATGAAGGAGTCTTCCTTCTATGAAAATAAACTAAGAACGGCAATGCTTAGCTTGGGCATAAAACAGTATGTCAACTATCGGACGAGTTACGAGGTTACAAAAGATAGTAAAACAATTATAGATTTGGTCTTTGCTAATAATAAGATAAAGGTTAAAGTACTCGACAAATCCAAAATAACTGATCATGTGTAGCTGCAGGTAGAATTAAAAGTGATTAAATCGAAAAGT